GGGGCCATACTGAGAAAATAACTAGAGATAATTACGCGCATAAATCAGACTGTTAATATTCGGGGGCGTAGGTAGGAGGTGCAGGTAGATATATTCGCCTATAGATAGGCAGGACCCTGTGGATGTACGCGGTAGGAGGGAAAGAAAGAGAGAGAGAGAGAGAGAGAGAGAGAGAGAGAGAGAGAGAGAGAGAGAGAGAGAGAAAATGCGAAAGAGGAGAGAGAGGGGGGGAGAGACGTGGCAGTGGCGGAGGAGACAGCGAAAGACGGAGAGACGGCGGAGAGAGCGGAATAATGCCAACTTCGGATCGGTAGATCATTCGTGGCCGGTGGATACGCCTCCTTGTTAGCCTGGGTTTACTTAGTCCTTCGACGCTCCTACGACGTGCGTTACGCCCGCTAATAGCCCACCGGTAACGAACTACCGTCGGCCTTTTTTGAGGACCTTTTAAGCGAAAACGCGTTTCTCCTCTCGCGCTGCCTCTTATCGATCATGGCCGTCATCGCGAGAAAGGATCGCCGTGGAGTCGCCCCTGAAAGCGAATTCCTTCCCACGTTTCGCTGCCCCGACGAAAGGATATACGCCACTTAAGGAGCAGTCCTCAGGGCGATATTCGTAATTTATCGACCGCAAATGGAGGGACTCCCACCGGTAATTCGCTCGCGGCGGCGGCAACGAGCGCACCTATGAACGCGCGAATGATTTCTGAGTCGTCCGTCCGCCTGTCCGTCCGTCGTGCTTTCCTTCGCGTTATCCTCGCGCGTCTCGGCGACGTTCACTACTGCGAGCCGGGTTTGCGCGGCACCGAAATTTTTCTCTCGTGGCCGACACCCCGATACGCGGGGTGTACAACCACGGTGGCGAAACGGAACAAAGCGGAAGGAATAGAAACAAAAACAAGGAGGACGAGGAGGAGGAGAAGGAGGGGGAAAAAAAGAGGAACGAAGGACGCACAGTGGCGTTGAAACACTCATAACAGGTGGACCGATACTCAGCCTGAAGATACATCTTCGAGGTGGGCGGTCCCACACTCCTTAAATCAGCCCGCAGCCACCATAACATTAAGCCCACCTCCTCTCTCACGGCGCGTCTCATCTCCTGCCGTTTATTTGTTTGCTTAGAGCGAGTAATTAGAATCCGATACAAATGGTTATTATTTATCGGCATGAGGAGGCGAGTCGAGAGGAGGTGAGCAGCGCCGTACGAATGCACGGTGGGACGACGACGGACTGAGGGAGAGAGAAAGAGAGTGAGTGAGCGAGTGAGCGAGAGGGAAGGAGAGGGGAAGAGTGAGTATACCGGCTGATTGCCTGGCGTTATTAAACCGGCAGATACCACGAGATAAATACACGGAGGCGAAACCCCGCGAATACCGGCCTACGCTATATAATGTTGCCGGCGATCCTCGCTAACAGCTTTTATTCCCCGCGCATCGTCGTGCATCGCGAGCGACGCAGAACTCAATTACCACGGCCGACGTCCGCTGACGACGTTCTATTAATAATTCGCAGCCACCTATAAATACCCATCGCTCGAGATCGAAGCGGAATATCTCAAAATCTCGCTGAACTTACCGGTAATTGGCTTTTGCGAATCGACGTTTTAATCTCGGAACGAGCGAGCGCGGGTGACGCGTGTCAGCTTCTGCTCGCTTTCTTCCTCCGTCGTCGACGTCTCGTTCCGACGATAAAAATCACGATTCAAGTGATCTTCGAGCGAAGTAATAACGTCTCGACGAACGATGTGAAAAATGGACCAAGCGACACTCCGTAGGCGGTGTGCCTCGAAAGAGACTCGAGAACTACCCGCGAGCGAGATAAAGAGTTCTTCCTCCTCTTCTTTGTTGAGATCGTTAATGATAAAAAATTCGCGCGCGATCGGCGGCAGCTGTCGAATCGGTGCGGCGGCTTAACGGAAATAAACATAATGATGCCTCTTCGATCGAACGGGAACCGGTCGATGCGCGTCATCGCCACCGCGATCGGCCAACCGATGCACCCGTCCTGCATTTTCGAGGAACGTGCGCGACTCGTAAAGGTGAACCTATCGTGATGCCAGACGCGTCCGTTAATAAAGTATAATGGGTACCCCGACAACGACGACGACGACGACGACGACGACGACGACGACGACGACGATGACGACGACGACGTACACCTGACCCGCAGAATACAATGTTTCAGCCGCGAATCACGTAGGACACGCGCGCGCGCGCGTATATGTACGTGTGTATATATGTGTGTGGGTGTGTATGAACGGATTTCTAATATGGGCGCGTAAAACCATTTGCAAGAACCGAGAAAAACACGACTCACGCGCGCGATAATGCGGGGCGATGATAAAAATAAATTAAACAATGCGACGATATATCGCAGAATAATGCGAAAATATTCAGTCCAATGTCACGCGAAAAAAGTTCTAAAAAGACTTTACGGAAGAGAGAAAAAGGAAAACTCGCTCCCACTCTCCCGTTCCCCGCGTTTACAAGGTGGGTCGATACGAGTCGAGGTTCCGGGTGAAATTTTTCCCGGCAAATTACAGGTACTCGAGCGTTATTAATTGCCCGTCGAATTCGACAAGATCCTCGCGAGGCAACACGCATCGTTAGCCGAATATATTTTTCGGATCGTCCGATTTATTTATTCTAACAAAGGCTCCGTCCGCAGAGGGATGGAGATACGCGCTGGGGGTAACGTTGATCAGCTCCGGTGTTGATTTAATTACCGGGAGAGTAATTGGCATGCCTACTGACGATCCCCTCCCCTCTCTCCCTCGACATCGACACCCCCTCTATCGTCCCCTTACTTCGCATGTTCTCCGGCACACCCCCCATCGCCTCATACTCCCGCGACCCAAACTGTTGCATATTCATCGATAATAGATTATTATATATCTACGTGTCGAGAGATCCGCGCAGCCAGGAACAATCGGTCTTCGATGATATATACTATATTCGATACGCGGCGTCCGATGATACATCTAGAGCGGATTAAAATTTACGCGACCGACACGACAATTCTGCGGGCGAATATTCGCCCCTATGCTAATCGGGACCATAGGATCTCCCCCACGGAAAAATTGCCGGCGCTCCGCGCGTTAGTCGCGGCGGTTTTTGTTTCTCGCTCGGCGAATACTGTAAATTGGCCCATTCGCTTAGTTTATAGCGCAGGTCGCGCGGACGGACACGCGGCTTCTGCGCGAGCGAAAAATAAAAATAGGAACGGAACAAAAACCGCGGGGAAACAAACAGCGACAGAGTTCGTTGGCAATTTCCGCGAGTTCGAGACACGTCGCAAAAAGGGCACAGCGCCGAGAGGACGGACGCACGGTTAGGTTCGTACGGCGGCCATAGGCGAGCGTATATCGCGGCGATGTTATCCGCAAACACGCGGGTTCGGCCAATTTATCCCAAGGGATGAGGCCGACGTGGCCCGGTGGTGGGTATGGGGCAACCTTGTCCAGCGGAATGAATTCAGCACGCAGCCCCCGTGCGGTCGAGCCACCTCTACCCCTTTGGCCGACCATCTCCAACCACCGTGCAACGTCCCCACCTTTTGATCACTTCACCCTCTCGACTATACCCCCGCCTCCTTCCTCTTTCACACCCCCGTACGATAGCGCGCGCGTTAAGGCCGCTTCAGACCGTCCAACCGTGGACAAGGGGAAGACATCGCGCGCGCTACTTTTCCGATGCGGAATTCAAAAGTGACAAAATAACAAACCGCATCGATACGACGCACTACTGGCGGCGCTCGCAAATGTTATTTCGCGAATTTGTGTTCGCGCGCGTTTCACGATGTTGATTACAAAATCAACATTCGTATCGCCGAGACTACTTTAGATTCTCGCGCACAACCTCGGGGGCGACGGGCGGCGCCTCCTCCTCCGTCGAAGTAGCGGACGAGAGCAGCCTCGTCGGTTGTATTCGCGCGCGGCTCGACCGGCCGACGCTCGACAGCCGGCGATTTATAATCGGTACAAGTGGTGTGAATAGCCCTTAACCCGCTACCATCCGCCACTCCTGATCCGCTCCACATATCGCTAGCGCGGGTATACAACGGCCGCCTGATTGCCACGGGGGCTCTTAGATTTATTGACCTGTCAATGGCGGCGCGCGAAAACGGCGAATTTACAACGCCGCAGGTGTTAAGTTCTGCCGTGCGTGTAATAACGGCCTGATCCCAGGCCTACGGTAAGCCACACCGTAATTATATTTCCGAACCTCCCGCCCGCTACCTTTGTCATTATCACCCGAGGTGGCGTAGCCGTAATTCAATGAGATCCATTGCGCGGCCGCGCGCGCGCGAGAGAGAGAGCGTGCGCGTGTATGGGGGTGCATGTGTACATGAGCGATAAAGGCCGACGATAAACGACCGTCCCGCGAGTCTAGGAAATTTCAGCATGCAACGCGACGAGAACGCGAACGTCGTGCCGCGAATTATAATTCCTTATAAATAGTGTCCCGAGATTGTCGCAATTTCAGTCCCGCTTATGGATATGGAAGTTTCGACCATGTAACGCGAGAAAGAAGGAGTTTTGATCAACTGCGCAGGCAGTCACGAAACATATTATTTTAATGTCACGAACTTCTCTTGCATAATTAATAAAAAAAAAAAAAAAAAAGGAGAAAAACAGCTTCTTGAAATCAGTATATGCCTTTGATTTAACTAATTATTAAAATTATTACAAGTAAAATTATTAAAATAATGATTAAAATAACTAAATAATTTTTTAATTTCACGTGCGTTAAATAACTTCACGCCCTAGATGAATCATCCTCGTCTTAAAAGCAAAATGTTTCTTTCCCTCCCTCTCTCTCTCTCTCTCTCTCTCTCTAAGTATTAATATTTTTTACTTGTACAGAATCCTAAGCGCGAAACACAGTCGGTATTTTGTTGTAAGAACCTTCAATTTGTTTCGCGTAAATTCCACGTGCGATTAAGATCGAACGAAATGATCCCAGAGCCAATTTAGATTAATGAATAATATCGTTGTCTTACCTTGAGCCTGGTGAGACGAGGTTCCTCGGTCGCGAGCTTCGCCAATGCCTGGTAGTCCCCCTGCGCCGCCCTGACCAGCCACTCACGTGATTTTCCGTCCAGTTGCTTCGGGAAAATATGGAGTCGCGGCGATTATTGGCGATTAATGGCGCGAGATCGGCCGATCGATCGGCCGACACGCGGAAGATCGGCCAGTTCGATCGAGCGTGCGGACGAATTTTAATTAAGATCCCCGGCCGCGATCGCGCGCATTTATCAGCAGAGCCGACGATATACACTGAAGTCCGAGTCCGCGGGATTACGTCCGTGTATGGCGTCGCTCTCGGATTGGCGCGCGCAATAATCGCAATCTGCGGTGGGTGATGAACTTACCGAGGCAACGGAAGCGCTGTCATCCTCGTCGGCGCCCTGCGGAGAAAAGAAGAGGGAAAGAGTGAGACGCGAGCGAGAAAGCGAGGGTCAGTTTGGCCCGTTGAAAAATCAACATTACGCGGCTACGTTACGTGGTCGCCTCTCGCGCGCGCGCACGGCGAAAACCGGTCTACGCTCCGACGCGCTGTATATGGCAGCGGCTACACGCTTGACTCGCGCTCTGGAGCGCGAGCGTACCTTCTCTCTCTCTCTCTTTCTCCCCCTTGCGATATAACCGCACGATCGCGAGCACGATGCATATACCGCGGCGGCTGGCTGCAGCGAGGGTCGACGGCGAGGGGGAGGAAAATGCGTGAGCGCAGCGGGAGGCCACGAGCGCGGGACGCGCTTCGGCCATCAGATTGATATACGGATCCAATAATTGATTCTCCGGCGCAGGGCCTTGGGATGTTGGCCGCACGCACTTACGCAACCCCTGTCGACCATCCCGCCACTCAAGAATCCGACGTCCCATTTCGGAAACTGCCATCTCGACGGACGATCGTTGATCGCGATTATCGGGCAAGCCGCAGTGACGGAGCAGAGAGAGAGAGAGAGAGAGAGAGAGAGAGAGAGAGAAGAGAAAAAGAAAGATCGATAGAAAGAAAGAGACGTGCTTCATATGTACTTTTATGTGAAATCCTTACGCCGGATCCTAATATTCGATAAAATCCCTCCTCCCCGCCCAGCGCGGCGGGTTAAATTATACAATCCCACGCTGTCCGGAGAGCCGCCGGAACCTGCGGCTGTTCCGATCGCTGCGATCGGTTCACGAGATGACACCCACCCTCCGAATCCGAATCCGTGAATAACGCATTAACGAGAAGCTGGCTCGTTTGATCGCGCTCGTATACGGCGCCGAACGACCGTTGCGACGTTCTCCACGTTATACTTAACGGCGGTATACACCGTGCGGTACGGTAAGATGACGCGACGCGAAGGAGGTGAGGCGGTGGAGGAAGAGCAGAGAACGGGGAGGAGGAGCAGGAGGAGGGGGAGGAGATGGAGGAGGAAGGGGCTCTGCCGATCCCAGGAACGCTAAACGACTACTCATCCCTGTTAAACTGTTTGTATTTTCACTCGTCACGGCCACGTCGGTTGTTCGAGGTGCTCATATCGACACTCGACCCCGAATCGATCGTGACTCTTCATAAATTACTTCCACAGGACCGCGCGTGCGCGCGCGCGCGCACGCTCGCGTTCGCGCTCGCGCGACGGCGCGCGGAGATGCGCATTGCACTTTGGCCGAGTCATCATTAGCCGGCCACGATATATCTTTATCCATCGACAACATCGCGCGTGTCCTTAAGTGAAATCATGATTCGGTGGACGGACGCGCGTCGATAGCGAGGCGAAACGAGCGTGCCACGGCATTCCAGCGTTAATCCAAATCCCCCCCCCCTCCCTGTCCACCTCCGCCAGTTTCATCCGCCAAAAAGCTCGGCACGGCAATGTCCTGCGGGCCGCGCCGTGAAAAGCTCCTCGTCGATCCCGGAAATCGAGGTGTCTCGCGCGCCGGAAATTCGTCCTCCTTCCGCGGGAATCAAACTCGAAGTGAGAGTCACTGACCCCCCGTCGCGTCAGGTGGTGCATCGAGGTGCGTTCCCAGCTTTCGTGTGTCTTCCCTCTCCCCCTCCCCCCCTCTCTCTCTCTCGCTCGCTCTATCTCGTGAACACGTCTATACGCGTGCGAATGCACAGATGCGCATGCCGATGCGACAGACTCTGTTTGGATGTGTGTGTGTGTGTGTGTGTGTGTGTGTGTATGCGTGCGTGCGCATCGCGATCGCGAGCCGCGACGATGCAACAATCCTAGTCAAAGAGAAAAGGACGTTATCGTTGGCCCGACGGCGGTGGGTAAACGGACGCGGTCGAATTAATCTTTAATTCGATCGTTTCGCGCCGCGCGCGCGAGCGCGCGTCCTCGCGACTACTTCCCTCATTAACAGTCGAAACGGCGGACCACACCACCACCACCGCGGTGAAATTAGTGCTTTCCCCCGTTCGCGCTCTCGGCCGCTCTCGCCCCTGGCCCCGAGAAGGCACATAAACGCGGCACCTGGCAAGGATACATAAGGATCTTCGGCTATCAGCGAAGTATATAGGAATACGTAATCACAAGCAATTCTCCCAAATTCTTCCCCATATGTTTCATGATTAATATGCAGATCGTCGCGAAATTATGCAGGCGAGCAGAATTCTGGGGAGCTTTCGTCGACATTTTGCCGGGAAGCAAAGAGTTTTTCCAGGAGGAACTCGTCAGCCGGCCACAAGCCCGGCCCAACGGCGATGATACCGTCAATTCCGACCGATTCGCGCGGCGATATCAGTCGCTGATTGATCTTTAAGCGATCTCGCGCGATCCGATCTTCGATCGAGATCGGTCGCGTCGAGAGAGCAAGGGGACACTTGTTCGCTCGTATCTCGGCTCGAAGATATGCAAATGTTCCGTCGTGCTCTCTCGGCGCGAGGTCCCCGCGAACGATCAGACAAACAGACCAGTCAGCGACTGCTGCAGTCACAACGCCGTGGCCCCATAATGGCGTTGCTATCAGATAAGCTTATAAGACCCGGGTAATCGTAATAGCATCGCAATGGTTGCCGGTTCCTCCGGCTCCATCGCGAACGATGAACGCGTGATGGTAACGCGACGGAGCGCAGAGAACGATGAACGAGGACGGAGAGGAGCGTGCGCGCGCGTTCGTTTCGTCTCGTCTCTCGTCTGGCCTCGCCTGGTCTGGTCTGGTCTGGTCTGGTCTGGTCTGGTCTGGCCTGGTCGGGCATGGCCTCGCCTGGTCTGGCCTTCTTCCCTATCGCCGAGTCATTGTTTCGCCGTAATTAATATTTTAATTGAGATCAGCGGGAATTAACGCAACAGGCCATGTTGAAGTCGTTCGCCCGAACCGTTCAATCGAGAGCCCAACGTGAGCGTCAGCATCGAGATTTAATTCACCTCCTTGTCCGTCCTCTAATATCTCTATCAGAGACGTGGGACACCGCGAGACCTCGATAAGGTCGCGATTCGCCAGCGAGAAGAGGAAAGGGAGAGCGAGAATCAAGATCGACTGTCCGTCGCGCTTTTTTCCACCTAAGAAATTGTTTGACCGTCAAGGTCACATTGTCTAACTTTTCAATTTTATGTCACACTTCGTGCTGATTGCCGTTGCACAAATAATAAGAAGTGGAAGATCACTCGCCCCCGCGGTGTTAATATCAGGCGCACTGAATGCACCGACGCGCATTCTTTTAATGCAAAATCCGTACGGCTACGAGGCGAAATATTCTGTACCCCGATGGCGGCATAAGCAGGCGGACGCATGGGCACTCATACATCACATTCGTAATCGGATAAAAAGCTAACGACGCGGCGCGTACAAGCCGCATAATCACTTAGGACGTGATCCTAGCACGAGCACCGAGCCGAATATCATAGAAATGGATACAAAGGGGCCATCAGCAGCCGCGGTAACGAGCCACGGCCCACCCCATCGCACATCCCCCATTGTTATCGCTCTTCGCGGCGCATCAGCGCCGACTCAAAAACACGCTCTCCCGCAGTTAAGCCGTGCACATTCGCGCGTCTAATTCCGCGAATGTGGCCAGCGGCAGGTACTCAACTCAGCGGGCATGCACGTGCCCGCGCTCTCGCGCCCTCATGTTCCGCGGCCTTCTCTCCTCCTCCTCTCTCTCTCTCTCTCTCTCTCTCTCTCTCTCTCTCTGTACGTTCACTCACTCTCCTTCTCACACATCTCGAACAATAAAAGGAATACGCGGTGTAAAGCAGATAGCGAACGCGGCGCGTTCGCCCTCTTCAGAGTGGAAACGTTTTAATAAGCGGACGTGCGCTCGCTCTCCGAGGGGGCGTATAAATATATTCGGTTGTTCTAGCGGAGAAAGCGGCTCGGTTCTCGCGCTGCGAAAGAGTGAGACGCGGTATGAGAGAGAGAGAGAGAGAGAGAGAGAGGGAGGAAGACCGTAGGAGAGATAGGGTGTCCGAAGGGCGCACCGGGGGCGGATATATCGGCGAGACGGCGAAGGGTGAGCGGGGGACGGCCGGGCGTGGTAGAACGAGAGGCAAAACATGTTGCGGCACGAGCTGCCTCGAGAGCTCCGCAGAATTAGCTTTATTATAACCTGGGGGCCATCCATACATGCCTAACAGCGCACGAACATTCGCCGGCCAATAAGCCAAATGCTAACCAAACATTTTCGCGACTGGGCGCACCCAACAATTCATCCCTCCGTCCGCCGTCCACCCCCTTCCGCCGCGCCGCGGAAAGGTCCGGCAAGAATGATTGATCCTGATTAAAACGAGACGCGTATTTAACGCGATCGTTGAGCCGAGACGCGCGACGACGACGACGACGACTCCTTGCGCGCGAAGCGGCAGTGAGCGGCGAGGAGGGGGGCTGGGCTGGCTTCTTCTCGGCGAAGCTTTTTCACAAAAAATATCGATGGTTCAGCCGGACGACACGACACACATAATTCATTCGCTCGCGACTTCGGCTTGGCCGAGACTCGCCGAGCTAACGCGAGATGCATTAGGCGTATCTTTATCGCGGTCGCGGGAAAGTCCTCCTATCTGTCTTCCGACGACCCCCACCACCCTCGTCGCTACCTAGCTCTCGAGAGGAAGTTTTCTGGCCGCGGCAGCGCCGTGAAACGATTAGGCCCGGATTAGTCGAGCGCGCGAGATCGATTATGCGATCCTGCGGATAACATTGGCCTGATTTATTCCCCTAATGGGCGTTCGCGCATTCATTTCGAGGCCGTGCGAGGCAATTCCACGGGGCTTCGTCGGATGGCGGTGCCCGTCCTGCCGCTGACAGGAAAACTCTCGCTGGGTGATTCAGCGTTCGGTTCGGCGACGCCTCCCAACGACCACCATAATGCCTACCTATCTCGGTGCCTACCCACCTACCTAACGCCATTTCCATCGGCCGCTATCGTCGGGGATCATAATCCAAGGTTGAGTCGCGAGCCGAATGAAATCGCGGC